AAAAAAAAAAAAAAAAAAAAAAAAAAAAAGCCCTTCATTCATTCTACCCACAGATATTTATTGAAAAGCCTAGGTTTGGATTCATGTAGGATAAGTTGTTACCTCATAGGTATGAGGATTTTCTCTCCTTTCTTCCTAAATTTAGTTAACTATTTTTTTGGAAAATAGAATAGTTTGGTCAGGGCCCTCACCTCGGGTCCGGTTGGGTGTGGTTTTAGCACATCCTTTCTAAGCAAATTGTGTGTGTGCGCGCGCGTGTGTGCGCGCGTGCTTAGTGTGCATGCGTGCGCACGCGTGTGCGCGCGCGTGCTTAGTGTGCATGCGTGCCAATGTATCTTTTTAGTTTTGTTGCTATTCTTGTATTCTTCAGAGAGAGAAAGAGAGAGAGAGAGAGTTTTAGTGAAGCAGGTCGGTGGCGTCTGCCTCAGGCATCTGCCCAGCACAGTCATGCTTTCCAACTTATGGCTTCCAAGGACCTTTTGGCCAGTTACCTAGTTCATAGACCTGCGTGAAGGAGCCTGGTGACCCAGCCTGGAGTGTTTAGGGTTTGTGACCCAATCTGGACAATGGGCTTGAGGGGTCTGGGAGCTCCAGACCCAGCCCTAGCTCGGCAATTGGCCCAGTTGGTGCAGGATTACCAACAGGTAAAAGAGCCCAACAACTAGCGTGGTAGAGTAGCTAGGCAATTGGCCTCATGAACAGGATTAAGAGTGCTACAATTGGTGGTGTCAACAGGATTCCAGACATTCGCCTAGCCATAGCACCACAATTGGAGTAGTCAGCAGGATTCTGAGCAGGTACAGTAGCCGGAAGTCCTTGGAAGAAGGAGGAAATGTGGCTACTTGTGAATATGCTCTGCCCTATGGCCAGGATCTGGTTGCTGCTTACTGTATTGCAAGGCAGCATAGACCAGGCACTACAGCAGAAAACCCCTTGGAAGGGGGAGGAAATGTGGCTATCCTTGAGCATGTGGTGCCCGGTGGCCACTTTTCTGCTGACCGGAGCCTGGCTGCTGTTAAATATGCTGCAAACTAATTGAGATTTGCGGCAGAAAGCAGAGTTGTTGGAAGCATGGATAAATGTCCTGGAGGATGACGTGCAGTGACTGGCCACTCCTGCCTCTCACACCAGGGAAGACAACCAAACCAGTGGTGAGTTGGGGAAACTGTGCTTCTCCAGACACGACCTGTTGTGCACAAGCGCGCGCGTGTGTGCGCGCGTGCTTAGTGTGCATGCGTGCCAATGTATCTTTTTAGTTTTGTTGCTATTCTTGTATTCTTCAGAGAGAGAAAGAGAGAGAGAGAGAGTTTTAGTGAAGCAGGTCGGTGGCGTCTGCCTCAGGCATCTGCCCAGCACAGTCATGCTTTCCAACTTATGGCTTCCAAGGACCTTTTGGCCAGTTACCTAGTTCATAGACCTGCGTGAAGGAGCCTGGTGACCCAGCCTGGAGTGTTTAGGGTTTGTGACCCAATCTGGACAATGGGCTTGAGGGGTCTGGGAGCTCCAGACCCAGCCCTAGCTCGGCAATTGGCCCAGTTGGTGCAGGATTACCAACAGGTAAAAGAGCCCAACAACTAGCGTGGTAGAGTAGCTAGGCAATTGGCCTCATGAACAGGATTAAGAGTGCTACAATTGGTGGTGTCAACAGGATTCCAGACATTCGCCTAGCCATAGCACCACAATTGGAGTAGTCAGCAGGATTCTGAGCAGGTACAGTAGCCGGAAGTCCTTGGAAGAAGGAGGAAATGTGGCTACTTGTGAATATGCTCTGCCCTATGGCCAGGATCTGGTTGCTGCTTACTGTATTGCAAGGCAGCATAGACCAGGCACTACAGCAGAAAACCCCTTGGAAGGGGGAGGAAATGTGGCTATCCTTGAGCATGTGGTGCCCGGTGGCCACTTTTCTGCTGACCGGAGCCTGGCTGCTGTTAAATATGCTGCAAACTAATTGAGATTTGCGGCAGAAAGCAGAGTTGTTGGAAGCATGGATAAATGTCCTGGAGGATGACGTGCAGTGACTGGCCACTCCTGCCTCTCACACCAGGGAAGACAACCAAACCAGTGGTGAGTTGGGGAAACTGTGCTTCTCCAGACACGACCTGTTGTGCACAAGAAATTGAGACAGTAAAGCAGCAGAAGGTACAGATGGCTCCTGGTATGAGACCTAGGGGTGGATGGTGTAATGTGCTCTAGAGACTATGTAGTAAATGCATGTTGCGTTTGTCTGAAGGCAAAAGGCTCGTAGGGTGCCACTTAAACCCAATGGCTGGCCGGGTGCCGTAAAACCCGAGAAATGAGTGCCACATGCAGATGGGCAGATGACCCGAGGACGGGTGCCCCTGCAGAATTTCAGGTGTTTTCACCTGGTGAAAAGGTGGAAACGTTAGTCTCCGTTACTACGTGCCTGTTTCTGAGGCAGCGGCTGCAGAATGGCCGCGGATGTGCACAGGGGCAGGGCAGCCACTCCTTGATGGACTGGAAAAATGCAGCTGTTTGAACTGTGGGAGAAAGGCACAAAAACTGCCTGAGACTGAGTGGTTAGCCGGAGTAAGCCAAGCTAATTGAAGTAATTCAAAAGCTGGAGAAAAATGCAAGTATGAAGCAGATAAACTGTTTGCTAAAAACATTATCTTGGAGCTGAGGCAGTCAGATGCTAAGAGCCAAGACAATGGGGGAAAAAGCCCTAAATGCATTTGAGAAGTCTGGATGGGTGCCCCACCCATTACAGGCCCTGAGGGCGTTTGAGAAGTTTGGGAGAGCACCCCTCCCATCCTAGGAGAACTGAGTTGTACCAGAGGACAGACTTGAGGTTTCATTGCCTTCAGCAAACTGCTCTCTGAATCCCAGCCACTCTGGCTGGAGCAATCCTGCCTCAGCACATCCGAAGAAAAAAAGCCAAAAACCTTCGTGGCGTTCACGTTGTGTTAAGTTTGCAGGCCAGCAGTATGTGAGAGCAGTGGAAGCTCTCCATGAATAAGATTTCGGAAGATATATGAATAAGCTGGGGGACTCAGGCAGAGACCTGCTGCAGGGGTAGAGCTGCTGCGGAGGTCATCTATGGAGCAATGTGGAGCAGAAAAGTGGGGTTATCTATTACATTACATGAACTTAAATTCAATAACCTTGGAAACAGTTAAAAATTTGGGAATCAAGAGAATGAGAAGACAAGCCGCAACCTGGAACAACCCAATTGAAAAATGAGCAAAAGACATGAACAGACCCCTGACCAAAGAAGATATACAGATGGTAAATGAGCATATGAAAATGAAAAGATGCTCAGCATCATGTCAAAAGGGAAATACAAATTAAAACAAGATACCACTATGCACTTATTAGAACGGCCAAAATCCAGAACACAGATAACATCAAGGATATGGAGCTGACAAGGATATGGAGCAACAGTAACTTTCATTCACTGCTGGTGGGAATGCAAAATGGCATAGCCACTTTAGAAAAGTTAGGCAGTTTCTTACAAAAACTAAACTCATCATAAGGTCCAGCAGTCATGCTTCTTGGTATTTTACCCGAAGGAGTTGAAAATTTATATCCACACAAAACCTACACATGAATGTTCATAGCAGCTTTATTGAGAATTGTCAAAATTTGGAAGCAACAAAGATGTCAAATGAGCTATCAAGCCGTGAAAGGCAAAGAGGAAATTTAGATGCATGTTACTAAGCGAAAGAAGCCAATCTGAAAAGGCTACATCTGTATGACACTTACATGACATTCAGGAAAAGGCAAATATAGACAGTAGAAAGATCAGTGGTTGCCAGGGAGGAAGAGATGAATAGGCAGAGCACAGAAGATTTTCAGGGCAGTGATACTATTCTGTATGATACTATTAATGGTTTTGTCAAAACTCATAGAATGTACACCACCAGGAGTAAACCCTAATGTAAACTATGGACTTTGAGTGATAATGATGTGTCAATGTAGGTTCATAGATTGTAACAAATGTACCACTGTGGTGTGGGATGTTGATGTTGAGGATGCTGATAGTGAGGGAGGTTGTAACATGTAAGGCGGCAGGGAATATATGGAAATTCTCTACTTTCTGCTCAATTACACTGTGAACCTAAAACTGCTCTAAAAAATAAAGTCTATTGAACACTTAAAAAAAATTGGGAAAGGAATACTGTGTGATGATACCTTTAATTAAAGCTATAAGATTCAGCAGAGAGACCCTGGGTCACATTTATAATTACTTATTACCAAGCAAGTCATACAACAAGGGCATGACATATAAAACTTACACAACAAAATCCAGCATAATGTTCTACACACCAAAACCAATAGATACTATGAGGAAACAGAGGGAGAACTGAAAGAGCCAAGTGCAGCCCTAAAACTATGGACTATACCAGTGTCATCAATAATTAGGAAATCTATTTCAGAACTCAAAGCTTTCAGGATTTTTTTTTCAAAGTTCATTTACTAAGGTCTACTCCCACATCTTCCCTTTAATCCAATTTTTATTAATTAAGAACTTTGCTGCCATGCCAACAATACATCTGCTTGAAGAAAATTGCACAACTTTGAAATTTTAGTGCCATTTTATGTTGCAAAGCTTTATTTACATAGTTCTTCAGAATATATTTCAGTTGTTCACCCACTACTCCAAGTGTGAAATGCTATCAAATAGATTAAATTTACAGGAAAGCATAAAAAAGAGAAAACAATTCTACAATTTAATATACACAGTGACATTAGTGGTTGTCATTTTTATAGTTTTCTTCTGAGGATATTTTTTTGCTGATAATGTTCCAGAGCGAAGATGTCTTCGAGAGTAGATTTCCACAGAGAATCAAAAGTATAACAGTCCAATATATTTTATAGGTATTATTTGACAATTTACAAGTAGCTGCAAATCATTTCTTTCCCCATTTTTTTTCAAAAGTCTCAGAAGACGAAGAATCATGACTTTCACCACTACTATAGTGCTCATATAAAGTCTGAAAGTAAAAATACAAATCTGTTTTGTAATTTTTTTAGCTCAATGTGTTATCAGATTAGTAAAGGTAACTTGACATATTCTTACTATAATAAATTTATTTCTCTCATTCTTATAATTGGGAAATTATTTTACAAATTATTACATAACAAAGAATTTTAAACATCTAGCTCAGCCTTAAGAATTAGCTTTCATGAGACACAGGTTCAATGTTTCTATAAGAGAAATACAACATGGCTATTAATAAACATATATATGAACCTTCAAGACCTTCCTGATCCTCCTAACTTTTTCTTAAATAAAGCTAGTCTTACATAAATTCTTATATGTAAAATATATTCATTAGGAAACAATATACATTTTCAGATGATATTTAAACTAATGAGAAGTTTAAAAATTAAAAATTGTTATGTAAAAATAAGTATAAATAGGTATATTAAATTTAATGTATTAAAAAAAAAATTAAGGCTCAGCCAACAACTAATTTATGAAGATGAGAGAGATCTTTGTTCTCAAGGAACATATAATCTCAGTGACAAAGGTAACTAATCCACCTCAATTTGAGGTGGAATGAACAATACACTAGTATAAATTTAAAACACGTAAGTATGAAATACAGAGCAATTACGAAACCATCTCAGTGACAAAGGTAACTAATCCACCTCAATTTGAGGTGGTCTGAACAATACACTAGTATAAATTTAAAACACGTAAGTATGAAATACAGAGCAATTACGAAACAGATTTTGTCCAATTTTAACTCCTAAAGCCATTGATTTAGCCATCAGCACTTGAGAAAATTTAAGGAAAAATTTTTTATAATTGTATGAACGCACATATAACAGTGAATGTATAATAAATTCCTTCAGAAATGTGTCTAAATTCTTGTCAATTTAGATTGACTTTACCCCGACCCAGAGAGCTAAAAGTGTTGTTAATTTAAGCACCCATAATTTTATTTTACTTTTTATTATTTATTTATTTTTTGGCGGCCGGCCAGTATGGGGATCTGAATCCTTGACCTTGGTGTTGTAACACTGAGCTCTAATCAACTGAGCTAACTGGCCAGCCTTGCTCCCATAATTTTATAATAATGTTAATAACTGAAATATACCATTATTAACTACTTGGTAGCTAAAGTCGGTAAATAAGCATTTATAAGGTTCTAGAAATGACTAGGTGTTTGATGACTGACCCCAAAATCATGGTTATAAACAGGCACTGGGAGGCTGAAAATCTCGAGACATGTGCTTTGAGAAATGTAATGATTGCTATGTACGGCTTCTCGGAAGCCATTACAGGTGACAAATACAGGGATTTCTCTAAGGTTTAATCTAAAAATTGACTAGAAAGAATGAGTTCAAAAGCTGTTAAGAATGGTTGGTGCTGAGTTATAAGACAGATTCCTATATTAAATATATTCCAATTGAGACCTGACACAATCTTTTAAATGAAACTTGTATGATAGTCCATTCTGAACTGTGCTATCTGCACAGTAAGAACATAAGTCAAATAAATCTATATTTGAATAAAAGTACATGTTAAGTATCTAAATTTAGAAACATACTTCATAATTGACCTGATAATTGGGCCAACTTTTCTTTGGTTTACCTGTTCTTTAAGTGTCTAACTCACTAACCTATGAAAAAAAGCTAAAATTAATGTAGATAGAGACCAGATATACTTACTTTAGCAACTTTCAAAATGGAGTTAGGAGAATTCAGACCAACAAGTTGTCCCAGAACATATTTCATTTCTTCAGTGGTTCCCTTAGCCACTTGGTTACCTATAAAATAAATACAACCGATAATACACTAGTACCAATAAGAAAAACATAAGTCTAATCATTATATATACATTCTGTTTATTAGCACAATAACTGCCATTCTTGTACTTTATCTATGATCATAGCCCCTTATCGAGAATAAGTAAAAATGAATGCCAGCAAGTAAAGAAAAGCAATTTTATTTATTTTACCAACTAGGCATAATATGAACTTCTTTAAGGGAAGAGGCAGACTGGAGAAGAGTAGCCAATTCAGATTATGTTTTTTGTTATAGTTAATAGGCTTTTATATTAGCAATCTAGTAGTAAACACATTTTGAAAGTAGTAGTACCTGGATGAGTTTGAATTTGAACATATGGATGTGCCAGGAGCTCAGGAATGGATATCCTCTGTTTAGGGTCCCTTATTAAACAACACTATAAAAATAAAGATTAACATTTTTAAAACAAAGCAGGTTTTCTTATATGATATTGATAAACTATTTTTCCAGGCTGCATCATATCACAGAAGTTACTTTCTGGACATCCCACACACATAATGACAAGATTATTTCCCCCAAGACACTTTTGCAAAATCCTTAAGTATTTTTATGTTTTAAAAAACTTTCAAAGTAAATTTAACATGCCTTAAAAGCTAATTCAGTCAGCAATTCCTGTCACTAGACCAGTTATATTTAAGCCAGTTGCATAATTATAATCATTTCAGCTATTTCTTTTAAGCAATTAACTATATAAAATTATATGAGATATTATCCCCCTATATCCATGTACAATTAATATTACCTTTAAAACATCTTGAAGATCTTTCTCTGGGATATCAGGTAATTCAATTTCATGATTAGGGTCAATTATGGCATGTAATTTAGAAATCTGATTAATTATATGCTGAAATGGTGTTTTCCCATAAGTCATATAGTATAAAATGCATCCTAAAGACCAAACATCACTTTTGGGGCTTATCTAAGTAGAAAAAAAAACAGAGAAGAAGAAGAAGAAGAAGTTGCTATTAATATTAATATAAAGTGTACATGTAAGAACATTATACTTAGGTAAAAAATGTGTCTATGTACACACCCATATATATACCCTGATATTTAAAATCATAATTAAATCTCAATGAATGTGTGAGTAACTAGATTATGTTTATACAACAAAACATCTTTTTCTAGTTTTTATTACATTTGGTTATTTTGCCAAAAGAGATGAGCTACACTTTAAATTTTTCAACAAACTCATAATTAAAATATCTCAACTGAGACAAAATATTAAATTCTTGTCAGCTTGTGAAAATACAAAAGAAACATAATTATAAATTTTAATTTACTTGTTTTCCCCAGTATCACTGTATTATAATAAATTTTTATAAATTCAAAGTATGTATACATTTTTAAAAGGCTGTTTAAATTGTGCAACCCTAAATCCAAGAGCATAATCTATAGAAGCAGGCTGATCTGGGTTCGTATCCTGGTCTTATCACTAGCTGGTAATTCTGTGTCTCTGTTTCCTCACCTCTAAAACAAAAATAATAAAAATATTTTGTCGTGGGCATTAAGTGATATAATCACAAATATGGTAATCGTACAGAATAATTTCTGATTATTGTAAGTACTCAATAAATATTTATTTTTTATTCAATTCATCTCATTAAAAGCTCATCAGAAATAACCAAAGCAATATGATAATGTGCAAGGTAAATGCTGGACATAGCCCTATTCCCGCTCCCCATGCTTAACAGAGTTCCCCCTCCCCCTTGGGAAACTACCCCTGGCCAAGGTAGTTACCCAAGAAAAGACACATTCCCTTTAAGACAAAAGACTGGAGGAAGCAGGGACCTAAGTAAATGAATTAGCATGCTGGTGCTAAAGCACTCTGGCAGAGAGTAGTGAGTAGATTAACTTATCTACTCAGCTAGATCTCCCGTGTGCTCTGAGTTATGTGAGCTGGGTGAGGGTCTGCATGTAGGCCTGCAAATGATTTACTCCCCTACTTTGATTTGTTCACTATGTTACTGTTGGTATGTACCACATGGCAGTGTGGATATACAGCTGACCAGTGGCCATCAGTAACTCTTTTAAGTCTAATAAACCAGTGTCTCTACCCATTGGGACACTGGGTGAGTTCTTTGGAATAGGCAAACACTACGTGAGTGCCCTCTCAGATTTGGGGCTCAATGTTACATAATGAATTACCCTTTTGACTTTAAAAAGAACATGAATAAGACTAATCATAGCAGTGGACATAATAAATGAGGATGGTTAAAGTATAACTAAATGCTCTCCACAAAGGATAAATCTAAATCAAAATCAAATGGCACAGACAGTGGGGCGTGGGGGGGGGGGGGGGGG